AAGATTTTACTATGATAACCGTAGTTTGACTTCTAAACAAAAGTTTTCAGCACGAAATTTTACTTATATGAGTATACTTAAATATCAAATATAAAGTAAATTAAAATCTGTACTTAATACTTTTCGATTCGGTGATCGGCATAACCTGGCACAGATTTCAGAAGTGCGAAATTGAATTCCTTCGGAATTCAATTTCTTAGGCTGATCAAATTTTAATTAAGTTATAAGGCATCTGCATGACTGATAACGGATTTATCCGGAATTTACGACGATAGTCTGCATAGTTTTTGCCGAATGATAAATTTATTTGGCAGACAAATCATAGTAAGCTGCCGGATAATTCTCTATATCGAGAGGCCTTATATAATTGTATTTAATAGTATATTATCATGCTTTTCAAATTATTGTGACTCCTGATGATCGACCACCGAAATCTAAAAATTTTATGAATACAGTAAATCTGTCTAGAAATAAAAATTTTCAAGATTTCCTACAACAAAACCAAATGCACTGCTGCACAAGATCCAAGAAAAAAATTTATTCTGAAATCTAGATCCCGAGATGCAACAACCCTAACTGACGTAAGAATGCAAATTCATTCTAACACCAACAGAACCCCGACTGTTACAAATTCCAATACCAGCAGAACCCTGATCGCCACAACACCCTAGGTGTTTAGCAGATACTGTATTAGATGCAACTCATTGTAATCTATATATTTATGATGTAATATAAATATCTAATAAAGGACCGAGGCAAGGCCTCACTCTATAAAAAAAAAAATTCATGATCGTCTTTATATTTCGATTCTCCAAATAATATCGTAATTATTTTGCAAACTACTACGCGAAAACATGGTAGTAAAATAATAATATTTGAATTACTGTAACAATTAGTTTAAAAAAAATTGATTTGATTAGTTTAAAAAAGCTTAATTTGGATTATATACTATATTTTAAACCAGAAGTTGGTTTAAAAATTTAATTTAAATTAATTTAAATTAATATTAAAAAATTAGTTTAAAAAATTTGATTTTGGCTATTTTATTAAGTTTTATTATATTAAAAAGTTAATTTTAAAAAACCTAATTTAAATTGTTTAATTTAAAAATTAATTTAAAAACTTAGTACAGTATAAGTTATTTTAAATTAAATATAGTTGTTTTTTTTATTATAAATATGCTATACTGTATATATACAAAAAAATCAACTATTATATATATTTTATATTTGAAGCTAAATGCAGCATATAAGGATAATTTTTTATATAATTACAGTATATACTGTATATATACTGTATTTAAATATAGTTTATTATATAAGTCTTTAGAATAATAAAAGTTTGAAGTTTTTACTTTAATATTTTTATTTAGTATTTTAAATAGGTATAGATATATACTGTTTAAACTTTTGAAAACTAATTTTTTTATAACATTATATATATATATATATATATAGCTGCCTAATAAATAGGATATATCTATCTTTTAAAAATCTTTGAATGGGTTTATATTTTTGAAAACCGATCATTTTTTTTACAACTTTGATATTTTGATAAGTTTTCACTATATCGAGAGTTCATAACGAGAATGACTTGTATATAAAAATTAAATTTCAAATGTTAATACTTTTTTTATTACTATTGCTAACTAAAATGGTAATTTATAAAAATTAAATTACTAACTTTAATTTTATTTTTGAAAAGATTACCATTCTATCGGGGATAAGACTAGTTTTTCCGTGCTATCTAAATTATTTCGTTCTTATAGTGTCAGCTTACGTACGAAAATATAGCATGACAATAACCTTCGCTATAGGTAAATTGTTGAAATTGTAACAATTAGAAGTTGTTTTCAATAATTCTTGCATTGTACAGGGCTCGTTCTTTGTGGCGTTTGAATAATAAGAGATTATATTGCATATCAGGCTATAATTTTTTTTCTCTTTTCGGGTTCGTCTTTATGTTATTTTTTTTTTTATTTTTTTTTTTGTACGTAACATTGATCAATTTATTGTTGTATCTATTATTATATATATACTATAATATACTTGTAATACCCATCATGCACACATGCAAACATGCGCCCAGTTGATGATTATATTGTTTCAACGTTTTTGACTTTATTATATAGTTTATCAACATCTATACTGTATAAATAGATAAAATTTTAACCAAGTTTCGCAAAATAAAAATACCTTGTAAAATAAATTATGGAAATTGAACGAGAAAACGTCAATAATGTCACCCACGGACGAGAGAACGTTAACAGCGTAACATACGAATTCGAGTTTGAAGGACTTTCTCAACTCAATAAATCTCTTTATAGTCCAGTTTTTTCTTCTGGCAGCTCTGGAAATTCGATACACGAACAACACTTTTGGCAACTTTGGATACAACCTGTATGTTTTTTTTTTCTTTTTCTTTTCTTTTCTTTTCTTTGCTTTACCATTTTTATAATTCCTAACCGTTTGCCATAGGCAGAAAACCTCAAAGATAATGAAGAATATTTATCGCTTTATTTATGTGCAATTCCTAATGCATTCGAGATCAAATCTGTTGAGCCTTGGCGGGAACGTCTTAATACAACTGCTGTAGTTTATCTTCAAGACCCAAAAACTAAAATTAAAATTGGGAGTACCATTTATTATACTAATAGAAATCTAAAGAAATTTTCTATCAGATGTTCTTATAGAGGTAATGGTTGGATCATTTTATGAATTCCAATCCATTTTTAACATTTTATTACCCATTAAATTAAATATATAGGCCGTGAATTTTTCGTGAAACGTTCCGCTATACCACAAACGAAATTAGTCTTGGGAATCGAATTTTTAAGTGTTCCATTTACTGAAACATATGTCGCATGGAATGACAATAAATGTGCTCCACCAGATTCATTAATTCAATCATGGAAAACTGCTATAAATAATCCAAGAATGGCCGATGTATTATTCAATGTTCAAGGAGAAGTTCTTTATGCAAATAAAGATGTTATATGCGGGCGTAGTGAATATTTTAAAACCATGTTTGCAAGTGGATGCGTTGAATCACGCATGATATCCTTAGCAGAATGTGGCCGATTAAAGAAACGACATCGTGATTCTTCAGGAAATTGCTGCAAATCAATGAAACAAGTTATTGATAATAGAGATTCAAATATTGGCAATTCTTATGATATAAAAAACGTTGAGGTCAAAGAAAAAAAAGATACAAGAATACCTAAAAAACAGTGTTCACATTCAGAAATAGGTTCTTCTAATTTTAATAACTCTTCAATTAATCAAGAAATTAACTTATTTCCTTCAGGCATCCAAACAACAATTAATAATGATGGTAATAGTGCAAGAACGATCACATTACAACATAAAAATGATCATGAAATCCCAGAAATAACTGCAAGGGTTATAGATAAAAACCAGGAGGTTATTACTAATAAACGAATCAATTCATCGGAAAGAGGAACTTCTTCACGAAACAATTCCAGAATAGATAGTCCGGAGGCTGAAGTTGATGATAATGAATTTTATCAGGAATTTCCTCCAGGTTATTATCATGTTGTCAATATTACGGATTGCGATCCACAAACTTTTGGAGCATTACTTCACTATCTTTACACCAACGAGATCGAATTCTCAGAACCTGTTGGAACGGCGAAAATAACGTCATTCGTGCATCTTTTTCGACTGGCTGATAAATATCAAATAACTGATTTGCGACAGCGCGCGTTAGCTCGGATATACAAAGAATTGGCGATATCCAATGTGGCAGAAGTACTATTTAGTTTAGGTCACCAATGGATGGACTTAAAAAGGGTGTGCATGGATTATATTTTAAAACACTTTGCAGCTATCAGAGATACAGAAGGATTTAATAGAGTATTCGATCATCCCGAAAATTATTCCGGATTTAGTGAGATTACCAGAGAACTTTTCAAAAGATTAAAAACCTCAGAAGAAAAAGAACTATAAAAAAAAAAACTTTTTTTAAATAGACGAATAGAAAGGTGATAAAAACTATTTTTAGATAGAATTTACTTTTTTTTTATAACTATTTAGAAACCTTGATTTTGTTTATTACCTCCTTGTAATTTATATTTAGATGAGGATGAATCAATAAATATATAGAGTAAATAGAGACATTGAAATAGAACCCCAAAAATATTCTTTAAGCATTGTTAATAAAATATGTGCACAAAAGTCAGTTTGTTTTTTTTTTAAAAAAAAAACTATTCAGAATTTATATATATTTTTGTCCCTTAAACCGCCCGGTTGGCGAGTAAATTTGTTTGCTAAAATAATTGGACGTATAAAAAAATTTTTCTAAAAATATTTATAATCGGCATACTCAAAATAATTCAAACCAAGGGTGTGTAGAGATTTGAACCGCCTAAAATTTTATTAATATTAACCGTTTAAGCTGGCATTAAATTGTCCTGACCCATGATCAACATAATTTGTCCTGGCACTATGAAAAATTTTTTGTGCGGTTAAACGGTTCTGATCCCTATTTGTAAAAATATGCCGTTTGATCCGAATTTTGAAGTTGGTCATGAAGAGTCTTTAGCCAACTTTAATATCAGATATTGTAAGGCCCACGTAATAATCATAAGATTATTCACAATTGTTATGTAATAATTACTTTGTAAAGAGCATATTATGCGTCTGGGCTAATTTTGACTATTGAACCTCTTTTTTTGGTTAATAAAACTGATTAAAAATTTTTAAATTACAGTTAATTGATGTGTATATTACTATATATATAGTGTATATAGTGTATATATTCTAAATGAATCATATTTATTGTAATTTGTTTAATACGTATTTTGAATGCAATATTTTAAATATTATAATTATTTGATAAGCTTTATTATTTATTTGTATATATATTATATTATTAACAAATACAATACTGTATATTGAGAAAAGTCAATAAAAAAACGACAAATTATTTTTAGTAACTTTTTTAAATTTTAAATTAAAATATTTTAACAACTACTAAATCAGATTTAATAAATTTTTTTTTCATAACTTATATGTAGAATTAAAATAAAAAAAATTGGGGAATTCACAAATAAAGGCCCGGAAAGTGAAAATAAGGACCCAAATTAAAAATAATTACAAATACGGGCCCAAATTAAAAATAATTCCATATAAGGGCCCAAAATAACTGCTATTCACGCCTGTGGCTTGATTGTTATTAGTATAAGAAACGTAAGCATCGCATAAAAAATGTAATGCTTGATTGTAAATTATATAAATAAAATGAGAAACTTCGCCTTATGAATAATTGTGCTAGTTTAACGTATTTTTATGCAATATTTAAGCAATAATTATAATGATTATAACTAGCACTTCATTTATCTAACAATCGTATATAGATAACTCTAAATGTTTGTAATAAAACAATCGATAATTCTATAATCGCGATTTTGCTATCGTTATAAGCCCGTGATCACATTTTTTTCAGCCATCAATAGATTTGGGCCCTTATTTTTAATTTGGGCTCGCGTTTGTAATTATTTTCACTTTCTGGACCCTTATTTGTAAATATTCCAAAAAATTTTGAATTTGATTTAGTAATTGTTAAAATATTTAACTTGAAGTTGAAAATTTTTTATTTAATTGAGGGTATATCAAGCCACATGTACACCTTTGGTGCCTAATTTAAATAGTCTGCCCGAAGCATTAGGGAAGTGCCATTTATTATGTAATTTTTTAGAGAAGGGTCAGCAATTTATCATATTAATATATTTAATATAAACATTATAATTGGCTGCTAATTTTATCATCTAGGGGGGAGGGGTTTGGACTTTTAATAAAAAGAAATTATATAATAAATGGCACATCCTTTAGGCTATGCTAAGGATTTTACACTATTTGCTATACCTGTATCTAACTATAGGAGTTGCTTATTTAAACTCTTTGGTTACAACTGCTATTACAAACAACTAACTCTGAGTATTGGGATTTTGCTATTTACTCTTATTGGATTTTGCATCTTACTTTAGGATTTACTAATATAAGCTAGTTTATTCACAAGGTAAATCTAACAGAGTGGTTCATGTTTCATATATGTATTTACCTGCATGTTTTGTAACTTCTTCTTAACTAGTAACTGTTATACTGCTATATTATAATCATATTTTATACTATTTTTTGGAGTATTGTCATACTATAATTGTATCTCAAACCTCAACAGTAATCTATTATATACTTATTGCTCTTGTAAAGTTCACAACAATCCCAATACTTATATTCATATTCTAGGTTCTTTATCAGTTTCTCACTTATTTCCAGCTAGCAACTCAGAAAGATTAGTCTGTCTAGGTTTTAGATACCTTACAGTTACTCTTCTCTTGGTATATACTTTTGAAGTATATGTTCTTTTTTTCTAGTGTATTTAAACTAGCAGTTTAGCAAGTATATTCTTCTACTAAAGGATCTGATTATTCAGTTTTTTTTAATTTCAAATTCCACCTTCTTATAGAATCATCAAATATTACTGTTACTTTTTTATTATTTTTTTTATATAATAAATAATATATTTAATATATAAAATATTATTTAATATTAATTTTATTAATAAAAAGCAAATAAGCCAGAAGTGTTAATATATAAAATAACTAGCAAAGTACAACAATCTGAAGATAGTACTCTTGTATATAAAATTTCAGTAGAAAAAAAGATCCAAAGCGAAGACTCTTTTATTAACAAAGGAAGCTACTACAAAATAACTAGAAAACAGTAAAGAACTAGCTCTTTTTAAACCACACTTCTTTATTCAGTCAAGTAATTTCTCTCTTGCCTATTTTTATCCTCTTATTGGTCTTTCAAAATTTTTACAAAAAGTAAAAATTTGGCTTATCTCTTTAAAAGATCAGCATTGTTTATATTTCAAATTTGAATAGCCTATTAGATTGCAACTATGTGTTTTATAAATATAGTACTACTATACAGAAACAAACCCTGGATAAGAAATCTCTAATAAGAAAGAAGGTACTTCTAATAGTAGTAGCAAGTGGCTTAAAATACAGGTCTATAGATAGCAGCAGCATCTGGCTTAAGATATGGATTAGAACAAATATAAGCAAAACTATTCAAAGTTGGTTGAATGGTCAGAAAAAAAAATCTAAAGTTAAAATGAAGCTTTATAGTAAAGATATACAAATATTGCATTTGGTATATAATTTTTTTTAGCCTTATATAGATATCTTTTTTGTTTTTGTATAAGTAATAACTTTGACTTCTTTTTTTTGTTTTTTCTATCTTTTTTCATTTTTTGTTAGTATATATTTTCTCTATTTTATATTTTTCTTTTATACTCATTTCTTTTTATTCTTTCTTTATTTGTTTTTTTTTTGGTTTTATTCATTATAGATAGATTATAAAATAGTCTCTCTACCAAAATCTAGATAGAAGAATTTAAAAAAAAAAGATAATCATAACAGGCTAGTAGATTCTGGCCAGTAAATTGTGTATTCAAAATCTATAGTAAATCTAGAAGAAGCAAGGAAACTACTTCTACTC